AAGGCAGGGCAGAGCTCAGGTCCTGCACAGAGGGCAGGGGTCAGGAGCACAGGACCTCTCACAGGTCAAGGGGAGGAGCGGCTGCAGGACCAGCACCCCGCAGGGCAGCCCATCACAGGCCCTCTGGCCACAGCGCCCCGCAGTCTGAGCCCCAGACGGGCACTAGAGGGCGGCCGTGAGCACTGAGTCAGGCCCTGCATGGCCACAGCTGCCCCTCAGCAGAGGAAGAGTGTACTCCAGCGGCCCTGCTGAGGCCCTGCAGGAGAAGACCCTCGACCAAGGCCTGTCGCTTGACCCCTCCCCACACAGCCCTCTCCGCCAGGGGTCTCAGCACCTGCCCTGCCCTCTGCTCTCCCCAGGTGCCACAGGGTCACCTCCCTGAGTCCAGTGTTGGCTCATGTCACGGCACACAAGGTCCCCAAACCCCATCTCTCCTCCCTGCCCCATGCCGAGTGGCGCCTCCTCCTGATCTCCCCATCCCTTCTCCCTTAGTTTCCTGTTTCCGCCCCTCTCCCCAGCACGGGGCTGATCCCTGCTCAGCACTGTCTTCCCAGGCTCAAGGGCAGCACCGGGCCCCAGGTGGACGCCCAGTGAGTGTGCGGCGTGAGAGCGGGAGCTGGGTAGGAGAGCGGAGCACGCGGCCCCGGGAGGAGGAAGGGAAGGAAAGGGACAAGAGGGAGGGGTGAGGCCCAGGAGCACGAGGGCAGCAGCTCGTAAGCAGCGGAGTGGGGACACCTGGTTAGCTCTCACACCTGGAGCCAGCGCAGATCTAGGCTCCTCCCACCACCCTCTCTCCTAAGACCTTGGGGGAGGGGCTGGCTCACCACACAGGCGTCTTTGCCACCCTTCACGTGCCCAGCACACAGCATGAACTCCGTCACGGGCGTAGCGTAGGCTCTCGCACACACGTCCCTGGACAGGAGGCTGAGATCCACGCACTGCAGAGTTCTGGGCAGCACAACTGTGCGTCACAGGAAACAGGGCTGCAGCCAGGCCCACCCCCGGCCCTCCTCCCTCAGACCCAAGGGCGCAGGCTCAACTCTGCTGCGTGGCCCTCGGACCCTGACTTACACCGGTCTACCTCTGGCTCGATGCTGCCCCAGCCGGAGGCGAAGCACGTGCTTCCCGGTTCTGGCTCCACCCTGGGCAAGTCGAGGACCTTCACGGCGTCCGTGATGTTGGCGGACTCTGACAGGCGGAGCAGCATCAGGTCGTGGCTGAGGTCAGTCTCTCTGCCCAGCGTCCCGTTCCACAGGTGGCTCATGTTATAGAGCGGGTGCGGAAGGGATCGGCTGATGTGGACCTGCTGAGCTGTGTCTTCCCCTTGAAACAGGTTGTGGCGACCCAGCAGGACCCGGCTGTCACTGTGGAGAGCGGGTTGGTGGGAGTGTGGGAACAGGGGGCAAGGAGGTGGAGCAGGGAGCACGGACGAGCGCCCCAAAGCGCAGAAACAGAAAGTGAGAGACGCGCAGAGAGAGGGAGGGAGGGAAGGAGGGCAAAGATGCAGCCGCAGAGGAGTGGGGGAGGAAACAAAGGCAGGGGAGGTGCGAGGGCAGGAGCACAACAGAGGAGAAGAAAGAGTGCACGAGGACGGAGGGACCAGGGGGCGGAGGGCACAGGGAGGACGAGGAGGCAGGAAGGACGCGGGCGGAGACACACAGGAGCCAGAGACCCTAGGAGAGAGGCAGGGCAGGGCGAGGGAGTGGGCGGGGCAGGGGAGTGGGCGGGGCAGGGCCAGGGAGTGGGCGGGGCGGGGCGGGGGAGGCAGGACAGAGGAACAGAGCAACCAAGGAGGGGATGTGGGCAGCAGAGAGCGCAGGGGAGGCAGAGGAACCGGGCAGACAGCGAGGGGAAGGAGAGGGAGGAGGCTGGGGTGGGCAGGGGGCCTGAGAGCAGCTGGGCTGCAGCTGGGCACAGCTGAGGGCTCCCAGCAGGCGGCCTGGACCCCAGCCCAAGGCCAGCACCACCAGCCCGCCTCCTCCCGCCCCTCCCGCCCGGCTCAGGCAGCCCTTCCTGAGCCTCCCACCGTGCACGACAGTGCTGCAGGCACGGGGTGGGCAGGGTGAGGAGCACCCCACACAGGTTGGCGTGCACCCGTTCCTCTCCTCTGGGGCCCCGGGGCCCATGGTGGGAGTGTGGTCAGCAGTGGTGGGGAGGGGACTGAGATGGGGGTCCGGAGAGAGACAGAGACTTGGGTGGGGGACACACCATGACAGAGACGGCCGCAGGGACACCCAGACGTGGACAAAGATGGGGAGACGCAGAGACACTGGTGGGAGGAGAGAGGGAGACAGATGCAGAGACCAAGACCCAGGCAACCCTGGCCAGGTGGTCGGGCCCCAGCGACTCTCCTCTGGCCTCCCGCATCAGCACCTTCCTCCCTCCCTCAAGGCCTCCCACAGGAGAGCACGCAGGGGCAATGCACAGCCCCTTTTCCTGTGGAGCCCTGGCCCTCCTCATGGCTGCAGGGACAGAGGGGTGCATGAGATTGAACCCAGACTGGGCGAGTGCTCTACCACTGAGTTACATCCCAACCCCTGCTCACCTTCTGAGGCAGTGGGCGGCCGTGAGCACCCACAGAGGGTGCACCAGGACGCCCCCGCACACTGCTAAACCATTGTGGTACACAGCCACCTGCCAGGGCTGGGAATGCTTCTCACACTCCCAGCCTCCTACGATGCGGGACTGGACAGGGGGGGCGGCACCTGCAGAAGGGGAGGCTGGGTGGGGCACCGGGTCCACAGGAGGGCCAGGGATGGGACTTGGAAAGGGAGCTAGCTGTCCTGTGGGTCTGAGAGGATACGCTGGCACAGGACCAGGGCTGGGGTTCAAGGTCATAGGCAAGGGGTGGAGGGAGCTGGCTGGAATTTGGGATTGCTCCCTGGGCTTGCAGGTTGCTGGCTGGTCCTGATTAGGGAGACTTTCTGCTGTTAAAGCTGATCAGACCCCAAGCAGGAGGACAGCAGACACCGAGGCAATACCTGGAGCAGACACTGAGTCGAGAGGCTGGGTCATGTGGGAGCCTTGGTGTCAGGGGATCGTATGGAAGCTGTGGGTTCTGGAAGGGGAGGGGATTCTAGAAAGCAAAGATGAGCTGTGGCAGAAGAGGTCTACTTGCTGGGAGAGGAAGGCTTTGGCAGAGTCTGAGGGCCCAGGGTGGAGGGAACACTTTGGAACTGGTCTTTGGAGGTTCTGAAGCAGCTGCAGAGTCAAGGAATCGGTCCTAGATAACTGGCAGTTGCAGTCAGGGTGGTCAGTGTTTTTGCTGGGCAAAGACTAGCCACTGAGGATGTCTGGGCAAAGAGGGAATGAGGAGACATTTTCAGAAGGCCAGCGCCAGGTGAGGGGGTTATGGTCACGGGACATACAGCCTGGCTTTGGGGAGAAGTGGAGTATTTGACGGAATCTAGTTTCCCTGGGAGCAGGATTGAGGGACAGATGTTGAGGTCTGGGGCACAGGGAAAAATCAGTAGAATCTGGTTGAATTAAAGGGTTCTGGAGACAAATCTCTCACCGAGAAAGGTCCTTAAATTTTGAGCCACACAAAGGGAGACAAAAATTGCTCAAGATCTGCTCCTTTAGTAAAGTGGCTGGTGGCAGGAAGTTGTGTTCCAGGGCTCCTGGGAGGGAGCAGGACCTAATGCAGGAGTGAGGCCTGTGATGGATCTGGCAGTATGGAGGGGCTGGGGGGAGGACAGGGCAGGGCTGTGAGAAACAGGAACAAACCCAGCGCTTGGTTGTGGGCTGAAGGATGAGGCTGAGTGCTAAGTGGGAGAGGAAGGACTTAAGGGGGATGAGGGCAGTTGAGAATCCAGGCCCCCGCCCCTCCTCCTCCTCGTCCTCCTTCCCCATTGACTCACCAGTCCTCCCTAGGGACGGGACGAGGCACAGAACCAGGAACCACATGCTGACAGAGACGTCCAGGGACAGGTGGCAAGCTTGGGACTGAAGAACCTCCCTGAGGAGCCTTATAAAGCTCCGTTCTCCCCAGGACCCTGCTCCTGCCCTAGTGGAACTCCGATGCTGGCCAAGACCCCGCCCTTTTGCTGGGAACTGGACACCTCCCTCCATGCTGAGAGCTGTGGAAGGGGAGGAGGACCCAGTACTCGTTGTTCTCAAGGTATCGGTTCACCTTGGATGCATGCCCAGGGCCTGAGGCCTGAAGGAGGCAGCCTGAAGCTCCTGAAGCCTTGATCTAAAGGACAGAGCCAGAAAAGAGAGGCCCAAAATGAACAGCGACAAGGGCAGCACTGTACCACAACACAGAGTCCCGTGTGCCTAGCCCTCTGTTCGCCAAGACACAATATCCCCTGAAACACCAGTACCCTGAGGCTATGAAACTCCCTACACCACTCTGGACCGAAGTTCTAACCTTCTACCTTCTGTCCCCGAAACAGAAACGCTGGCACTCAGAACTCCCTGATTCTTGCACTCCCACACCCAGAATCCAGTTCCCTAAGTCTGTTGCCTCTCATAATACAGATGTGCAGTCCTACAGAGCCTGCTCTAGTGGCACCAGATGCCTCACATCCCCAACCCAGAAATATGAGTCTCCAAATCGAGTTCCTTAGCATTTCAAAATCTGGAGTCCTCCAAACGATCTGGAGTTCCAACAACACCTACTCCTCGTTCTCCAGATCCGTGCCCAACACTCTCTCCTCAGATAAACAGACCTAAGAAGCCAGGTTTATTTTTTTGTTCTTCTCTTCTCTTCTCTTCTCTTCTCTTTTTTCTTTTCTTTGGAAGCCAGATTTCTGCTCCTCAATATTAAGTGGCGTTTAAAAATCACTTGTTGGACAGAGGATATAGCTCAGCAGCACAGCATCTGCCTGGCAAGTGTAAGGTCCTGAGTTCAATTCCCAGTACCAAAAATAAATAAATAAATACATAAATATGAAAATCACATGTTACCGGATGTGGTGGCGCACGCCTGTAATCCCAGCACTCAGGAGGTTGAGGCAGGGGGATTGTTTCGAGTTCCAGGCCAGCCTGGGTTACAAAGTGAGTTCAAGACCATCCTGAACTACATAGTGAAACCCTGTCTCAAAAAGTCAAAAAAAAAAAATTAAAATAAAATAAAAATCACATGTTGGCATCACAGAAGAGAACTAGGAACAAGAGCACTGCCAATTCCTCTGTTAACTCTAAGATTTCCTGGATTTCCAGCAGGTTGGTTATCTAAGCTATTCTGTAAAAACAAAGCAGCTCATATGGATTCAGTGCTAGCTGCATCTAAGGAACTTTAGAAAATCTTCCCACATTCCTTAAAGACTAATAAACTCAAAGTGCAGCAAGAGAGATAGAAGCAAGACCCAGATAATTAAAATTTAAAACCACAAAGACTAGAGTAGAGGGATATACTCAAGTAGTGTACACACAGACACACACACACACACACACACACACACACACACACACACACACACACCCCAGTGGGAGCTTAAGAGTTCCCTGGAACCATCTTGTGAAAGAAGTTTGCCTCCATCTGAGTGAGATCCTCCTGGGTCCAGTGTCCCCGGGCACATCCTAATCCCCATTATAACTTTAATCAAACATGATCCAAGCCAATTTAACACAATCCGATCCAACTGCCCCACGCACAAGCCCAACCCAACTAAACCTAACTCAGTCTAACAGCTACATCTTCAAAGCCCTATTTCAAGTCAAACGCTTCCCCACACTCACATCCACCATGACCCAATGCCTACCTCTATCCTCCACCTCCAAAACCAAACTTATTCTCATCCCCAATTCAATCCCGACATACTTCCCACCCAACATCAAACAAACTCATTTCTAACCAGAACCCAGGCCATCCCAGAACACCCGGACATCATCAGCCCTAAACCCAATACAAGGACAGTCCTTGCTCCATCTCTAGCAACTCTAACAAGGCCCTTCATTCCAACTGACCCTCATTCTCTATCCTCAAACATATATTTTGCTTGAATATACTTACCGGCCACAGGAAACCAAACACAACCTCGTTCTAACTCTCCAACCTGCCCACATCCCTTTCTTCGTTGTTCCCGCTCAGCTCTGACCTCATTGGCGTCCATGCTCCACCCTCCAGTCTGCATACACCATGGTGTTCTTCAGGGGTGCTGGCTCGTGTTTGTTCAGGCATGGCTGAGATAATGTGGATATTGGCACAGGGAGATATGTTTGAGAGTCACCAGGGAGGAGAGGGGACTGGGAGTAAACACTTGAGATTCCATCAGTGGCAACATTGAGCTGAGCTCAAGCACCTTTCACCCATGGTTCCCTTTGCTCAGAGGTTCCTCATTTAACACCTGGGCCCACCTCAATAGCACACCGGCTGAGCCCTTCTGGGGTCGAAGTGGGCAGCTCCAAAGGTGCTACACAGCTGGAGAGGAGCATGTGGGGTCAGTCGCAGCAAAATGATGTCAGGCTGCAATTGGGTGCTCCCAATCATTGCTGAGGGATGCACTATGTATCCCACAGGCCTCTGCGACATCGCACATGCACATTTTGGGCCGGCCAGGTACCACTTTTGCAGAGGAAATGAAAGACGGAGAGATGAGCACTGCTTGGTCCTCCATCCCTTTGGGAATCTGGAGTTCCCATTACCCTCACCCCAGACCCTAGAGCCAATGGTTCCAGCCCCTACCCTCGAGGACCAAGAAGTACCAAGCCTCACACACCTGGAACTCAACCCTATCCTTCCTCACAGCACAGGACTCTTGGATCCCTAGACCGTTCCCGCATCATACCGGAGGAGATCAGACCTTACCAGACTCATCCCTCAGGGACCTAGGAGTTCAGAACCCGAGAGCCCAACCTCCAGCTCCTCCAGAATTCAGGAGTCTGGGTCCGCTCCCCATCTTCCTCGGGATTCCGAGCCCTGCCCTCATTCTGGGTTTGGCAGTGGGCTGCTGCCAGACATGGTCAGCAGAACTATGGTTAGGGTAGAACCTCAGTTAGGCTGGAGAAGCAGGGTGTGGTGGATAAAGTGTTTGACCGGGATATGTTGGAGTTGCCCTGCAGGCAAGGGTAGAAAGCACAGTCTGAATAGCATTAGGAGACAATTCTCCATGATCCTCTCATGCTTCTGTGTGTCTTCTAAGCCAGAGCATTAACACTTCTTTAAAACACAGGGTCTCAGTAGGTTGCACAGTCTGGCCTTGGACTCACGATCCTTCTGCCTCAGCCTGAATACTGGGATTCCAAGTGTGCACCCCCATGCCCAGAAAAAACTATCTTTCCAAGGATGTTTGTACGTCAGGAAGCTTTGCCAAGATACTATTTCTCTCAGATCAGATTTGCTTACTGTCCTAGGTAATAGCGTCTCTCTTTCTACATATTTGTTTACTGTTTAGGATAATAAATATAAAATCAGTTTAGAGGAGGTCTGTCTTCACCCTATGATAATAAAGATAATATCTTCAATCAGAGACAAAGACTGGGCAGGTTTGTAAGTAGCCTTCTTATATGTCTGAAGATTATTTTTGGTACCAGGAATTGAACTCAGGACCTTGCACTTACCAGGCAAGCACTGTGCCACTGAGCTATATCCCCAGGCCCAGTCTGACGATTCTTAAGCTCAGAACCTGAACCAGTGGTACAAACTCCTTATCAGTGTGCACAAAATACACCTGGTCATTCCGTAAGGTTTGTGGCAAAGTGAAAGGATGTAAACAGGAAGCTCATGCTGTCTTTGGCATTGTGAGTATTCAAGTCCTTTGACCCAGGAATCTCATGTGTTCTGCCAACATCTATGGAACTGTAGCAGGCTACCTTGTTTCTTTGCAAATTAGTACAATTTCAGACCCTTCAGAATTCTTGATGAAGAGTCGAGCACAAAGGCTCCACCCACAGGGGCAGTAGGCAAAAGCCCCAGCAGGGGGCAGGGGGCAGATGGAAAGCAGGAAAGGGAAACAGTGCAGAAAATACAATGGGGTGAGCACAGTTGTGCACACTTCTAATCCCTGCACTTTGGGAGACTGACACAGGAAGACTGCAAGTTCGAGGCCCACCTGGGCAACCTAGCAAGCTCCTGGCTCAAAAAGAAATAATAAATAGAAAGGGCTGGGGAAGTAACTTAGTGCAGTGGCTGTGGGTTCAATCCCCAGGGCCACCAAAAACAAAATGGGACTCTCTTCTTGTGGGTGTCTGAGAGAGGCCCAAAGGCAAGGGTCAGGGTAAGGTGTTAACAGAAATCCACCTCCATCCTCTCCAGGGCAGAGACATTGGGTCACAGTTCACTTCTCTGCAGGTGGTGGCTGATCATGGCCCCTGCGTCCAGAATAATCAAGACCTGGGGAGCACCCCTCTCCCATCTCCTTTCTATATTAAATGAGGCCAGTAGTGCCCACGCCAGAGGGCTGTTGTGAGGACTGGATGAGTGTCTATGTGCTGGGGCTTATGCGTGAGCACAGTAGTGCTGGCACAAACTTTCAGAGCACGGCCATTGTGCTAGGGCCTCATGCACAGCACCTCCTTCGATCCTCCCAGTGACTCTGTGAAGGAAACTGTGCAGTTCAGGGTTTCCTTGTCCAAAGAGGTCAGGCTCATGCTGCAGCTCCTGAGACATTGTGCCTAAGCCTTCAGCCATATCCTGCCTGATTACAGTGCCTTTTTTACCTGGGACACTGGGCCACATGGAACGGTCTTAACAATGTGACTCACAGTAAGGGCTTTGGGCCACACCGATCAGCTAGACTGCCGAAGGGGCTGGGTCCTCAAGGTCGGCCAGGAAGGTCAGCAACCACGGCTTGTGAATAAACTCCAATTAAATCTCTGGACTGTCAGGCTCTGGTCAGCAGGACAGTGCGCAGGCAGCACACAACATTCCTGGGGTTTTGTGTGCTCGGCGGTGTGGACAGTCACATCTAAAGGGTTTCACATCCATATTGACTTCACACCTGTGCATGGGTCTGTGCCTGACGCTGGGGGTGTTGTCAGTTTGCGTGTGTGTCCCTGAAACTTCGGACCATGCTGAGTCACCCTGCCGTTGTTCTCTGGAGGGTGTGTGTCAATAGCTGCAGGTGTCTGCATGTGCAAGCACCTCATTGTCTCACTAGTGTAAAACCTGAAAGAGTTAATATAAACTCGGAGGTATGATAGACATTGTGAAATGATAGGAAAACACTCAAGAGTAAAGAGCAACTGGGATGTAGGAAAAGAAAAGGGAAAGAAGGAGAAATTTTGTATGTATATACAGGATAGTTAACATAGTTGTTCTGCTGTGTTCTATTTCTTTGCTGAAAGAAACTGTCAATGAGCCCTTGATTGATCAATATTGCATGTCTCTGTTTTCATGAGAAGCCACTTTGAAGATATCAATAGTAATACAACAAGCATTGTTAATTTCCTACCACTTTGTAACTCTGCATTGTTTGTATTGTTCTTTAGCTATTTTGTAAATGGTTGTCTGTTAATGTGTTCCTTTTATTTTTAAAATTTAAAAAAAAAATAGCTGCAGGTGTCATGATGCCCAGTTGTGTGCGTGATTCTTCGTGTTCGTGCGCTCCCGGCAGGCACCTTGATGAACAAGGACCACACCTGCGGGCAATGTCCAGTGAACTGGACAGCGCCGGCTGGCACACTCAAGGATGGCAGGGGTGTGTGAGTGAGTGGGAGACGCTGTGGACAACTGCCGGAAGTGGGGAAGAGTGGCGCCCACAAGCCCCGCCTTGCCCAGTTGTCGCCTTCTGTGAGGACTTCTTACTTTGCAGGAACGTTGTGCTGCGTCCGCAGGAGGTGCTCACGGCTGCACACTGCTGGAGCCCTTGGGCTGGGAACCAGGTGAGGGGCGTGGCCTCGAGTGGGGCGGGGTGAGGAGCGGGGCGTGGCCTCGAGTGGGGCGGG